AGTGCATAATCTAAAAAATTCATCGTTATTTAATGTACTTGTTCCCACATAGGACAAATGTACTTGTTCCCATATAGGATAATCATGATGTGAAAAATAAGATCAACTTTGCTTTCTCAATTGATGTAACTGTTTGGATCATAGTCTCATTTCAATGGTGGGATTGTGAACTTCAGTTTAGCAAAGAGTTATGTCATTAGAAGCCTAGGTTTTCCATGTCTTGGTTACATTATGTTTTGTGGAGTTTTTGTTGGTTGAATGTCGACATTGTGATTTTCTTATTGTTGTTTTTCGATGTTCAGATCATTCATATGAGTTGTTTGTGTAGCCATTTATTGTTGTTAAATGGCATTAAGCACGTCTATTTTTCAATTAATAGTAACCATGAGGCCTCAAAGTGCATCGGTAACTTCGTTGTCTTTTATTATCCTGAAAAGTCACAACACTTAAAAGAATAATGTAAAGTGAAAAAGAAATCAAAGAAACAAGAAACCTCACAATTCACTCCAAAGAAGTAATACACCGAGAGGTAAGTTAGTCAATCTTGTACTCAATAAAACTATCTTACTAATAAGTCTCACAATGTTCATTTTGGAGTTCAATCTCTATCAAAGACGAAAAGAAACACTTAGTAGCTCTAAGAAGTCAAACAAAGGGTAAGACTCCAATTGAATGAGAATGCAAAAAAGTAGTATGCAAACTCTTTTAATTCTACTAACATAAGAACAAAAATGTGTTAGATTATAACACCCCTGACCCGTACCCTACCCAGATACGAATTCGAGATGTCACATTTGAGTTTTTAAACATACGCAATTCACAAAATATGAGTAAATTAAAATTTGTTATCCCAATCAAGATAGAGAGAATATATATATTCTAAATAGAAAATCATTTCACATAAAATTCTTAATAATTTACATAGATATCCCAAAAGTAAAAGTTTACAAAATCGATCAGAGCATTCAAATTAAAAGTTTAATACATGTCAATGGTTTACAAAAGTTAACCAAAAACCTACATTTAATTTGTTCTGATATGATCTTCTGGTGATATGCTAATCTTCACAATCAGTCCTCTATCATCTTCAAACATATGCGTGAGAAAACACACGCTAAGTCGATGACTTAGTGAGGCAATACTAATAGTGCTAACTTATTAACAGAAATCTTATTTGTTTTATTCAAAAATGTTTTTCAAAGAACTTTCTTTATTTCCATATCAAAGGTATACTTATGAATAATTATACTTTGAATGTCTTTGTTTCAATTTCCCAAAGTATACTACTGAGAAATCTAGGTATTTGAGTACTATGAGGTTGTGCACTAATATTATCACCACAGCTCGTAATTTGCACTGAAGTGCCACATAATTGTCTCGAAGGACCACATAGTTTGCACCAAACGAAGTGCCACATATTTGTCCTGGAGGACCACATAATTATCCCGAATGACCACATAAAACCCTCGACTCTTGGCATGTCAACTATACCTCTAATCCTCATACATATACTTTGGGCTATTATTCACATAATATTGCTCAACCCTTATTCAAAGTGTTTCTTATTCACATAGTTCTTTCTCATAGAATTTATTCACATTCACTGGTTCAAAGTTCAAAATTACTTGTTCAAGGTTCATATTTCCATAACATATAATCATAAAACATAGTTTATATAATAGAAATTGCATAAAACATTGAATTAGAACATAAAATAAATATAAAGTTTTCGATCGAAACACAGAGGTTGGCTTATCACAAACCTTCATCAACTCTATTACTAGAAAGAAAAGTTGTACTCACCTTAGGCTCACTAAAGTCTAATCCAAGTCCTTTCGAATGGATACTCAAAATACAAAGCTGACTGGAAGTCAAATACGTTCAATCACTACATAAAACAATCTAAAATCAATATCGTTCTTATCTCAATTATATCGACTCATAATAACTTTAGATGTAAGAAACCCTATATTTCATTTCATGCTTAGAGGCATCGGTACCACCCTAAGGGTACCGATACCACCCTTCAAGTGTATCGATACCTCTGCATGTACCGATACCAAAATAAGGTTCGATGTTTCAAGGGTATCAATACCTCCTCAAGGTACCAATACCAATCTAACATTCGATGTTTTAAGGGTATCGATACCATCCTTAAGGTACTGATACCTATCCCTTAAAGTATCGATACCACTCTCAACAGGTATCGATATCACTCTCAACAGGTATCGATACACCTTTACAAATACGCATTTTCAACCCATGAGGTATCGGTATTGCTCATAAGGGTACAGATACCCTAAGCCCAGAATGGCCATTTTCATCCCGAAAATCACCTCAAAACTTTCCTAAACACATGTCTTAAGCCTTTGAACTCACCTTGATACTTCCACACCCATTAATATTCATTAACCACTCTTAATTATCTAAATTCCAATTTGAACACTTGAATCTCAAAATCAAACCAAAATTTCAAACATGTTCTTAGACATATCTAACACTTCTAACTCTTAAGTTTAATCCTTGACAAGTCAAAAATCTTATTCAAACTTCAAAAACTCATCCATAACAAAATTTCATCTAAAAACCAATTTTACAAATCCCTCTCTAAAATATTCATAATGTTATTTTAATGATATATAAGCTTTCCTTAATCTTATATAATACCTAAAATTTCATAACCAAACAATAAATTAAAGGAAAACTATCACTTTAAAAAATCTTACCTTTGTATGGAGATGGCCATGGCAAGAAGAGAAAGAAGGAAAGAAAGAATGAAAAGCTTCAGAACCTCCTTTTCTCGTGTTTAGCACCTAATTATATAAGATAAATATCCTTTATCATGAAAAGACCATATTGCCCTCTCCAATATATCAAAATTTCCATTAAGCCCTACACACAAATTCCACTATAAATCCTTGAATTTACAGATTTATTCTAATTCAAACACTAAGTTTAGAAGTTCTTACAGTTTGGTCACTGACCCGCTGATTGAGATGTTACATAGATGATATAAAAGAACAAATAAGGGAAAACAAAAGAACCTAAAGCAATAAGAATAAAAATTACTAGAAAACCAAACCCAAAAAACCTACAAAACGCGTGATCAACTTGAGCAACGTGTTTGAAGGGTTTTTGATGTCCAAACAACCTGGATTTTGTACTAGAGAACACTCTTATGATGAAGAATATACTTGTAAAAAATCAGTTCCAAATTCATCCGTTTGTGTTTTTCTATATTTTTCTTTTTTTCTGTCTTTTCCTCTTTTATTTTTTTTATTTTTTCATGTAAAACATCAAACTAACAAGAGGTAATTATACAAAATTAAAAGAATGCAAAAAAAACCCTGAAAATAATTAATCATTACAAACTAGCTCTATAGGGTACCTCGGTAGTTTATACATATAAGAACAAGCAAGATTGCTTGATTTTCTCCAAGGATTCAAATATGATACCAGTTGATAAAGATGGTAGTGGAGTGATAAACATTACTTGTAGTTGAAGAATCAAGCCTAGGGATCTAGACTCAATAAAAGAGCAGGATGGAAGATGGATTAGATTGTTGCCACAATCTAGGATTTTGAATGGGAAAGAAAGCTACTAGAAAATTAAGATAAAAATAAAATATTAATATGAAGATTAAGACAATAAGATAAACTATAAAAAAATAAATATAAGATGACTTAGCCAAAATTAAGGTTTTGGTGATGATGGACGAGAATTGTGATTTGATGATGATGATAGTGATTGATAGATAGTTGTACAACGAACTCTCTTAATCGTAATTAACTAGGCAAACATGATAATCGGCTCTAATAACAAGCCATCCTAATCACAATGAGGAGGAAAATTGGAGTGTGAAGATCTCCCTCACGAAGAAGTTGAAGAACTTAATGATGAAGAATGCTTCGAGGGCACAAGGTAATCAACACTTGCAAAAACGAACTTTAATTGTGTTATTAATCAAAGAAATCTCGTTTACAATGGTGAATGAAGCCTCTTTTATATTGGGTGAGGAGTTCCATGAATCTAAGCAACTACTGAATAAAATAATAATAAACTAAATATAATGTTTAGATTCTATCTTAATTCTTAAAATAATAATAAACTAAAGATAATATTTTAACTATATCTTAATTCCTAATAAAATAATAAATCTAATCCTAAAAGATAATGTTTATCCTATATTAAATTATATTACAAATAATCAAGAAAAATATCGATAATTCATAATATTTACAAAATCTCGTAATAATCACATATAAGAATTTTTGCATGAGTTGTCTTCACTAAAATGAATGTATCTTGAGTTCTCGACATCATATTGACGTGTTTCAAGTACCGTTGAAAAGCTAAGAGATAGTCGATCGTATTTCCAAAAGACATGTCGACCAAATAACACCCGGATTCCATTCAAAAAATCTCCGCAAGTATGTTGATGTTCTGATCTTCTTTTTTAAGATTTGGTTGTGTGGATCAATTGGAAGAGGTAATCCGTCTTCCTTTGATGTGAGTCTTATGGTACATGTATCAATTGATCAAATCAAAACTTCAATTATCAAAATAAAAATGAATAATAGTTTAATGATAACATGTGTAGTGCACCCTAAAAATTATAACCTAATCATAAAAACAATATTATAAAAAATGAAATTATATTCTCCGCTCAGTGTATTTAATTATTAGAAACGTTATATTGTAAGATAACATCTTATTTATTTATTTTTTAAAATTTACATTATATTTTTTAATATAAAAAATTTAACCCGAAAAGTTTGCCATTGTGAGTAACTAATCTATGCAAATTGTAGATTTTGTTTTCTACTTAATTATAGAATCTAAAACCACGAAATCTCCATTACTTATCATGAATTCGTTAATTCAGCTTTTTTTAACATATATAAATTAAGTAATACAATTATTGCAACAACAAAAAAATGACAAAAAGGGTATTCAATTCTGGTGTAAACTGTGCTGTTATGTTTTTTCAGACAACGTAAGGGAAACGGAATTGCTGACATACCGAATTCAAAACCAGACTCTTTGTTCTTTCTCAAACCTATGGATTTTCTGTCTTTTTGTTTTTGATCGAAACTCCCATTTCGAATCCTTTATCATTGGGATTGAGAATCTAATTATTTTTGTGTTTAGAATGATCTTTTAGCCATGCGTTGGCTTCGGAGTATTTCTTTTTCATCCTTTTCTTCTACTTCCTCGTCTTCTTCTTCAGCCACCTCTCCCAAGAAACCTTGTAAAGATAATGATAATAATTCTAACAAGCATCGTTTCAGTTTTGGGTTTCGCTTATCTAGACTGACGAGGGCGAAGGAGCTGCGGCGTGTCAGGGATCAGGGCGTTGCTCCGACGAAGGAAGTGCAGGTGCCAGTGCAGCCCAGCTGTTACCATACTCCATCTTTTTCGCCGAGTTCGTCAGCGAGGATATCGACGCCGGCAGTGGCGGTTCCGTTGCCGCTCCCGCTTCCGGCTCCCGAAGGAGATTGCGAGCAACGGTTGTCGCCGAAAGATGCTGGGTCTGGCAAGGGTTTAGAGGGCAGAGATAAAGAAAAGGAAGCTGAGCCACGGTTGTCGGCCAATTCAAGGTGAATTTGCTTCTTTTCTTCTTCTCACATATTAGTTTTGATTAAAGTTTTGTTGCAGTTTTAGGAATTTATATAAGATTCTGCAATTATTCGTTAATTTTATGTTAAAATGAAGAAAAAATTATTATTATATGTTCAAGGAGATTGAAATTCCAACTTGTTGCTAATCTTAGGATGTTTTACAAGAAAATTATGAGTTTGAGGAGAATTTATTCGTGAAATGCCGGTCGTTTTGTATTGATGGTCTGAAAATCTAAACTTAAAGCTTATTTCTTCTAGTCATTGCAGACATTCTGATAAGCATTTTGCTTCTTGTTGTTATAATTGAGACTTGAGAGTTTCTTGATTGCAGCAGGTTTGCTTCTCGTCGCTCATCGAAGAGGGCTGATTGTGCCAGAAGATCATCTGAGAAAATACTATATCAAGAACTGATTAGAGGGGACAGCTTCGAGGATGACTTTCGGGCTAATGACCCGATTAGTAGTGCCCCTGGGAGTCCGTTAAGCCGTGCCGTTATTAGCCCAACCGGAAAGAATCCAAGTCACAGGTTTCTACACTTCATGACTCCTGCAGGTGGTAACCATGCTTGGTCTGCTCCGGAGATGCCGACTTTAGACGTTCCGGGGCATTTTCCCCTGGGATATTATGATTATGGTGCATATAGCATTGATTATACCCCATTTCATACTCCACCAAATAGAAGTCCTCGTCAAAGGCAGAGAAGTGGACCTCCTTCACCGATAAAACAACGGATTTCACTCGACAGCTCACCATCTCGGAGCAGCAATGTCCATCCATTACCTCGTCCTCCAGGAGCAGCAATGACTTCTACATCAGCTTCCATTCCCCCCCAAGTTACATCTAATCCAGACCCGTTGCGGATGAATTGTCAATGGAAAAAAGGCAAGCTTATTGGGCGTGGTACATTCGGAAGTGTTTATGTTGCCAGTAACAGGTATACAAGTTCTCTGTATCTTGGTTTCCCGTTGATCTTGCTATCTAAACACTAAAGGGGCTTCTTGTTTTGGACAGACAAACTGGAGCTTTATGTGCGATGAAGGAAGTTGAGATATTTCCCGATGACCCGAAATCTGCAGAGTGTATAAAACAACTAGAGCAGGTTTTTCTGTCTGCAGCAAATGTTACATATCGTGTTTATTTCTTCCACGGTCATCGTAACTACTTTATTTCATTGCAGGAGATTAAGGTTCTTAGCCAGCTCAGGCATCCGAATATAGTTCAGTACTATGGTAGTGAAATAGTAAGCAACATGCCAATTGCATTTTTACGGTTTTACTCTTTCTTCTTGCCTGACTTATTATCTCAGTAACTTCTATTAAGAATTCAAATTGTGCGTACACAGGTTGAAGATAAGTTCTATATATATTTGGAGTATGTTCATCCCGGTTCAATTAATAAATATGTTCGTGATCACTACGGTGCCATAACCGAATCTGTTGTTCGCAATTTTACCCGTCATATTCTTTCAGGGTTGGCTTACCTGCATGGAACAAAGACGATTCACAGGTATATAGTGATTTCTGGTTTAAAATAAGGTTTGACATGCACACTAAAATAGTCCGTTACAGCATAAAATCAAGTGGTCTTATTATGCTTGCATGAATTATCGGTGGCTTAATATGCTGTTTATATGTTTTTTAGAGATATTAAAGGAGCTAATTTGCTTGTTGATGCATTTGGAGTTGTGAAGCTTGCTGACTTTGGGATGTCCAAACATGTAAGTTCGTAAAGTTATCGTTATCTTTGGATGTGTGCTAGTCACAGGTAAGGCTTGTAATGTCGTAGTCAAGGATCTTTTACGAGTTGATGTCCGTGCACCTTCCCTGCACGAAAAGTGATGCATATAACTATCTTACTCTGTAATATGAATAGCCAACTGTGGCTGTGATGGATAATGATAAATTGGAGTCGATTAGCTTGGTGTAATTTCTGTTAGTTGTTATTATTCTGATTCCGATCAAATAACTTTGGATACGTTTGATGCACAGCTTAGTGGACAAAGAGCTAATCTATCTTTGAAGGGAAGCCCATATTGGATGGCTCCGGAGGTACCATCTCGAATCTATTTCGATGTAGTGGTCTGTAATTTAAACATGCTGACAGTACTCATTTAACTGCAGCTCTTGCAAGCCGTAATGCAGAATAATAATTGTTCTTCTGAACTTGCTCTAGCTGTTGATATTTGGAGCTTGGGTTGCACGATTATTGAAATGTACACCGGTAAAGCACCATGGAGTGAATATGAAGGGGTAAGCTGCTAATGTAAAGATTGTACTGATTGTCTCAGCGGCACCAACATGGTTCAATTGCTCGGTCTAGTTTGTTTTCAAGTAAAAGCCATTGCCAATTTCTCAAAATTGACACTGTTAACGCAGGCTGCAGCTATGTTTAAAGTGATGAGGGATACTCCTCCGACACCCAAAACATTATCACCTGAGGGGAAGGATTTCCTGCGCTGCTGCTTCCAAAGAAATCCGGCAGAGAGACCGTCTGCGAGCATGTTACTAGAGCACCAATTTATAAAAGGCTCAAACGGTCGGTTGTTTAAGCATCTAATAGATAATGTCCATGATAGATAAGAATACTTCCCCCTTCCGTTGCTTCTGACATCTAATTGTTTGTTTACTAATAGGTTTAACAAGAGACCGATCTGAACTTAACCTGAATCAATTTCCAGTTCAGCAGGGCCCGCAAAGGAATAAAACTGACTTCTAACAGGTAAGAATTACATGTCGCATTGCCATTTGCGTATCATTATATATCCATCCATTCGATCAAGTCAGGAAACTTGTGCTATATTCTTGTCCTTTCGGTGCAGCTTCATGCATTAATAAATTTCTCCGGGGAAACTGTTTGATGAGAACCGTCACCATTTTACTCTCCTTGTTGTACCTTTGAGGCTCTACCTAGTTCGTCGCTTCTTCATCATCCCAGTCCTACTGTTATCCGTGACATAACGATGAACCTGGAGTCTAACAAGAACCGTATTCTCGGGTCAAGTCGAAGAGAGGAAGTAGCAGTGGTTTCTGCTGGTAAGACAGCTTCAAGGCTTGCCGTGGAGAGCTAAAGCACGCCCCAACTCCCCTGCTCTCTGTCTTGCTGATCTGGAGGCATAGGTAGAACATTATATATGTTATGCAAAGAAGCAGAAAAGGCAGAGTTTAGTATTCATATATTTTTGTTCAAAGTGTTTGTCATGTAAATATAATTGAATTCTTGACTGAGTTTAATGTTATCGAGTCCAATTATATCATTTTTTTTTCTTCAAGAAATTACACTAGTTTAATGGATGGAAAACTATTTTATATATTAAATAAAAATAAATTTATATAATATATTTTAATAAAAAAATTTATCCATTCGTTTGAAAATTCACCTCTTAAAAGCTTAGCGGTTCTGTTGTAATGTAAATAGATTAAATTTATATTGATTTTTATAAAATGTTTAAATTTTCTTTCTCATTCAATGATGGGAGTCAAACGATCATACATGCATGCCATTGTCGATATCTGTTTGATATTATGACATGAATACACGGATTTTAAAAGAACAAAATCCCAATGGACATACAGGAATAAAAACACTATCCAAATATGAATGGTTCATCCAAATATTCATTAGTTGAAATGTACAAACCGTCCATATATGATCAATAAGATCCAAATCAATAGAAAAGAAAAATGGTCAAGGGCTTCAGGGTATTTGCTTGCCTGATTGTTTCTGGCATGGTGAACATCGTGACCTCATGGCAGACAAAATGGGGAAAATGTTCAGTCAGTCTCAGCAATAAAAACTGGACAAAGATGCCATCCATGAGCTTCTTTTTGCGAGCTGCAGTCATTCTTAATAGTCGGAATGAAGGAATCTCTCGTATTTGGTCCCGTTTAGTGTCTTGTTGACATCGTCCCAGTTGTTCACCGAATCGGATAACGGACCTTTGTGTATCTTAACCTGGCCACTAGTTAATTCCATCTGTGGAAGGCCTAGGAACTCTTGAACATCTTTGAGTTTCTGGTACAAACACACGAAAAAACAAAAAGGATTGCGGGTTAGAAGATGATTATTCTTGGACTTCCACAAAACGTTGCTTCATGGTCGAGAAATATTATAAACATTTCATGAAAGTTAATTGCCGACCTTACGGTACGGTTTGTGATGAGATCCGCATAATGCAAAACCATCAAGAAATGCTATAAATATTTCGTGGAAGTTGGTCGCCAGCCTTACCGTATGGTTTGTGACAAGATCCTCGTAGTACAAAACCATGTGACGGGTACTATTGAAGTACTCTAAAGCCCTAACAACGGACGCTTCTGCTTCTTTAAGATCCCTTATTAATGATGTAGAATTGATCATCGGCTTGTAACTCGAAAGCGCGGCAGCCTAAATTAAGTGACCAGAAATAAGTTCAAATGTCGGAGCAGAAAAAGCGGATAAAAAGAGTAAATAGGGAGAGTCCGTAACAGAACGCAGGGTAGGAAGAGAGGCCTCTTGCTCTGAATGAACATGAGACTTGTGGGTTCCATTTAATAGCTTTGCATAGCGATCATACGAATTCGCGAGTACTGAAACCATCCTCCGAAGCAAATTTCTCCGAAAGAGAAATATGGCAGAACCACCCCGACCATTGAAGTATTCTACTATTTCTCGATGGTGCTCTATCAATCCCTGCAGGAAAAATATATCAACAAGCAGCTCGTAAAATGCAAATGATTTCCTTCCATCACATAGGATTGCCACCATATTGATTACGGTATTCTTTTGCATGGTTTATATCTAGAAAACAAGACTCCCTTATGTGAATAAATAATCGTGCTAAAACAGAACAGATCGACAACTCCGGGTCGTTCTCATACAGTTCCGACAACTCGACAACAATCCATCACATTTCTCAATAAGATCACAAGGTCAAGACTAAAATAAGAAGCTAAGCTGTTTACCTGATTTAGCATCCATTTGAAGCCAACAGCGGCCGAGCATTCATTCTTCGAAGCACTAGTGAACCAATCTAAATTGTAAATTTTCTCTTAAGATTTATATATTTTTAAACTAAATTTAATAATTATATTTTTTCATATTTATAATTCATGATTATATATATAATCTTAAGTTGAGTATTTCTAATATAATTAATAATTTTAATTTCTTATTAAAAATAAAATATTCAAAAAATATAAATGATTCATACATTAATATATGAATATATATTTTTATTTATACATCTAAATATAAATATACATTTATATAAATATATTTTTATTCGTATATTGAAATATTTTGATTAAAATATAAACATATTTTAAATACTAGTTTATACAAGAAAAATAAAATATATCAAAAAATATAAATGATTCATACATTTAAATATAAATTGAATCATTTATATTTTCTATACATCTATATTTAATAAGAAAATAAAATTATTGGGGGACTGTTTTGCAAGTTTTAAAAGTTGGGGACCTAAATTCAAGTGCCTGAAAAGTTTAATGACCGTTTATATAATTTACCCTAATTTTCTAACAGTGATTTAAGTTGGGGACCATATTGCAAACGGAATAAATGTTGGGGGACTGTATTGCAAGTTTTAAAAGTTGGAGGACCTAAATGCAAGCTTCAGAAATGTTCAGTGACCATTACTATACTTTACCCTAAAATCATCCAGTGAACTTAACGAACAATACATCATTGACTTACCCCTGCTTTACCAGGGATGGTGCAATGCCACGCCATCAAATTCACCGTTCCACCCGGCAACGTCTCCGGTTTGGCGACAAAACCCTAATATACACGAATAATCAGGAAAAAAAATGAAACATTGAAAATGAAAACTCAACAGAAAAACTAACATGGGGATGGTTCTTCCTCCATGCCTTCCGTTCCTCGGCGAGTCTACCACGCGCTATTCCAACCGACATCTCTCTCTATGTATCTATCTAATCTATTTCTTTCACTAAATAATTTCCACTAAAACAATTAACGATCCTCTCCTCTTTCTCTTTCTTGAATAATTGGTTCTTTATATATAAAAAAAATCAAAACTTTCTTAGCAGAATACCGGAAATTAGGATGATATTTCCCTTTCCGATTTCCTTTTATTCTCCTCGTCGTAGAAAAATAATATTCTCTCCGTCTTATTAAATATATATATATTTTTAAAAAAAATATTATATTAAAAAATTAACAAACAACAACTTTTATATTTTTTTACTCTTATACATCCTATTTTTTTACCCTGTTAAAATAAATCAATCAAATTTAACAATAATCCTTCAAAGATAAGAGTGGTAGTAGTGATTTATTTAAATAAATAAATAAATTAAAGAGTGGCAGTAGTAATCTATTTAAATAAATAAATATATTAGTATCCGGTTGTGCTGCCGTATAGGAGCAAAAGAGTGCTAGGCCCGTAAATAAATTGAACGTTCAGCGAATCATTCATGAACCGTGTAGCAGGAAGATCGTTTATGTTTGTTTATTTATTAAATGAACGAACATGAGCAAGATTTTACGTTCGTTTAATTAAATGAACGAACATGAATAAAGGGTTCGTTCGTTCATTTACGTTCGTGAACGTTCGATTATATGTTCGTTCATTTATGTTCGTTCATTTATGTTCAAACAGAGGGCAAGTTGAATATGTTACGAAGAATATTGAAGTTGTTTGGATTTCAAGAAGATTGTTTTGTTGAACAAATTAACATTAAGACTTTATTATGTTCATATAGCTTATTTATGATTTATGTATGTTTTTGTCGTATTCGAACAAATTAACTCTAAAGTTACAGGTTATATTAATGAATTTTAAGTTGTTATTCTTGTTGTTTTTTTTTTACATTCGTTTGTTGTGTTCGAATAAATTTTTTATTATTATTCGTTTATTGTGTTCGTTTATGTTTGTTCTAATAATATTTTTTACAGTGGTATACTAAGACGTGACACCTGTCCGAGCGGGTGATTTGATCAGGAAAACGGAATAAAACAAGGTGGGTCCCAATTCCATTGGTTGCTCATATATATATATAAGAATTTGTTTATTTACAATTTTACCCTTAAAAGTCAGTGAATTTGCGGTTTTGTATTCCAGCGTGATACCAACGCCACTGTACCCCTCACGTGAAGCACTGTATGTTTATCCGGCTCATTTTTATATTAATTGTTTATTCAACATAATAGTTCGAAATTATTTTTTTAAAATAATATATTTTTTATGACTGAAACTATTTGAGTGTGGTTCCACTTCATGGATTCCACTGCGACAGAAGGTCTGTAGACGTAGTCGTCGCGAACATTTTATAACAAAAATATAATTTATTACTTTAAATAATTAATTTAATATCGTAGAAAAATAATTAAATTTTTTCTAACATTAATTTTATTGTTTTGTTAAGAAAACACCTTAAATACGATTAATAGATTAAAAATTGAAAATTAGTGTGAATTATGATTTGGAGCTTAATTTTGAATAAAAAATTAAAAAAAGAATATTGTATAATGTTATCGTTAGATTCAAATTGGAGAAGATTAAGAGTTAAAGAATATTTGATAAATTAAAAAATAGGATTTGTAAAAAAAAAGACATGTATGATTAGATTTAATTTAAAATTAAATGAACAAACAAGAGAGATAGAGAAAGGGATGAAACATGGAGAAATTTATGAAATTGAAAAAAAAAATTGGAGACTTTAATTATAAAGGTATAAATTAAGATAAAAAATAATTAGTGGACTCAATAATTGAGAATGAAAAAACTTATGGGCCTCAATTATAAGGGTAGAAAGTGAGATTGAAAAAACTTAGGGCCTCAATTATAAAGATAGAAAGTGAGATTGAAAAAACTTAAAGTCTTAATTATAAAGTTAAAAAATTATATTAAAAAAATTAGGGTCCTCAAATGCAAAGATATAAAGTGAGATTGAAAAAACTTAAGAGCCTCAATTATAAAGTTAAAAAGTAGGATTAAAAAATTTAGGGCTTCAATTATAAAGGTAGAAAAGGTAGAAAGTGAGATTGAAAAAATTTAAGGACCTCAATTATAAAGTTAAAAAGTATGATTAAAAAATTAAGAGCCTTAATTATAAAATTTAAAAAAAAAGATTGAAATATTAGAGACTTCAATATAAAAATTAAAATTAAAATTGAATAAAATTAGAACATAAATTATAAAAGTAAAAAATAAAATTTAAAAATTAAGAGACTAATTATAAAGATGAAAAAATGGGGGCCTGAGCCCGTAATAGCCGTCTCTGCCTGTAGACGACAAAAGAGGAAGAACAGTAACATGACAAGTTTCTCACGCCTCTCCATGAACGGAAATCTAATAAAATATAAATTTTAATGCCTCCATAACTATTCATCGAATCTTTGTACATCTGAGTGGCATTCCTTAGTAAAACAATATAGTTGAAGAACAAAAGGACGGTCCTCGACGCCATGGCCACCGACTTCAAATCCATCCCAGTTATCGGTAATTTGTATATTATTATCCCCATGATTTACCGGTCCTCGAAATTTATCTTTTTGATTGATTAATTTTGCATGGCCGCAATCAATACAAGTTTTACTTGCAGAAACTGTTGGTTTTTCTCCATTTTATGGTTCAAATTCAAGTTCTAAGGTTGATTGATATTGGAATCACAGTTTTGAATGTCGAGTCTAGGCTTCAAGCAAAAGAAAGAAGGGTTTGATTAATTTAAACCTAAAGCATAAGAACTCAATCAAAAAGTGAAATTTATTCGTATAAATTTATCTGTTTGGGTTTTTATTGTTATTTATAAATTGTGGTGTAGATATTGCTCCTCTGTTGGCCGAATGCAACGATCCGAAAATGGATCAAGACCCTGGTGTATGTGAAGTTGTTAAACAATTGGATCAAGCTTGCCGTGAGGCTGGATTCTTCTATGTGGTAAAATTTTCACTTCTGTTTTTTTTATTCTATTTCTATGTTCTTCTGAACAAGGGGAACTTCATCTATGATACTCAAACTCGGTTGTAACATGTTCAATTTTTTCTATGTTTTTCAATATATATGGAACCCTTGGAGGGTCATATCCCTACAGTCGAATCCGGATATGCAAGGACGTTAGACACAGTTTCTTAAAGAAAATAAAGAGTCGAAGCAAAATTGGTTTACAATAGTATTTCGCTAATGGTTAAAGAATCTAGGTTTTCTAATTGAAGTTTCTGGTATGGTGGAGCCTATGATCTGATTCTGATTTCAAAATTTGACCCCGGACAATTTTCATAGATGAAATATGGAGCATTCTATTTTTATGCATACAAACTAAAGTTTTCTATATATCTAGTTGATAGCCTAACTTATTGATGGTTTTTGTTTTTGTTTTTTTGCCCTTGATTCGTTCGCTTTTTGATTCATTAGAAAGGTCACGGTATCCCTGAGACTATGGTGAACGAGGTTAGAAATATAACACGAAAATTCTTTGATCTTCCGTACGAAGAAAAACTGAAGATCAAATTGACACCAGCTGCTGGATACAGGTCTGTTCGGTGAAGTAAAATCTTTAGATAGATGTAGTTTAAGATTATTGATTAGTGTATATGAATCTCATTGACCTGGTCAGGTGACACTCAAATGCAGGGGATACCAGAGAATTGGAGAAAACATAACCAAAGGCGTGCCTGATATGCATGAAGCTATTGATGTGGGTGTTACTTGTAGCTATTTCTTGTTCCTCCATTTCATTTTCATTGATATTGCAAGGTTCCAATGGGAATCATTTTCTGTTTAATCGAATAGGATGTTTTGAACGGAATACATGGCATCAAAAAATTTTCTCTACTGGTACCATGTTTCTAGTATTAGTCAGTCATCATCATCAAAAGTATTCTGTCCACTACTTTTCCACTACTTCATATACAGAGGGAGAATAATGAACTTTCAACTTATTCTAGGGTTTATATTTGTTTGAACCTTATTTTCTTTTTTTGATTAATTATCATTCACTTTTTTCTTTGAAGGGGTATTTATCATCATATTCAATTTAAAATGTTTGAAGTTTCAGTCAAAGATTTAGTTAAAAACACATTACTCACTCTTAGATAGTGTGGTGGATACTTCCAACACTTGAGTGGATCTTTGCATGAACTATCTCAAAGCAGTTGGTTTTTACTTTTTACACTGTTATGTTATGCTTTTAACCATCTCAGTTATATAATTTTTCCCCTTGCTATTCGGGATTATCTTTGAAAGTTACATTATAGGAAAGTATTCTCATTAGTAGCACATTATGTTTGCTACAGTATATATATGATACTGATTTCTGTGCTACTTTGGATTACAGTGCTATAAAGAATTAAAACAAGGGATGTATGGAGCTCTTGGCAAACCAATGGAAGGATGCAATCAATGGTATGTCAAGAGACTTGGTCATTTCTCAACCATATCCATTTTATAGAATTTTCTTTTGCTGGATGGCAGTTATTATTATCAAATGACATTTGCGATTGATACACTTTGGAAGGGCCTTAGTGCAATGTTAAGATTATTTTTTATTCATACAAGGACCTTGAATTTACTATTTGTATTGCTGCGATTGATTGGTCATACAAAATGTTCTCAATACTTAAATAATTGGCTTAAGCCATTGCAAAATGGTTGTATATCCTACAAAGATTTTGGATTTGCCATGTTCATGGGAATAATGGTACTAACAATTTTGCATATAGCGGCTAATCTGAAAGGTTGAAGGTTGAGTTTCGGAGTTGACTCTTTCGTTTTGCGACGTTGTATATGACAGGCCACATAATCCCCCAAACTTCAAAGAACTGATGGAGGAGTATATCAGCCTCTGTACAGGCATGTTTGTGTTTTTCGAGTTTGAGTTCTCCTTTGATAATTTTTTTACTTGGCAGGAAAATTCATGGCAGTTTATGAATTCTTGGTGATGACAGAACTGTCAAGGAAAATTCTTCGGGGAATAGCTTTTGCATTGGGTGGATCACCGGATGAATTTGAAGGAGAAAGAGGCGGTGATGCATTTTGGGCGATGCGTCTTATTGGTTACCCAGGAGCATCAACCGCAAACGGAAAATGCAAACCTGATACTGACATTGGATGGTAACGGAATGTCAATGCTGCTTCTGGTTTTTCCTTTTTCTTAATTTCTGCAATTTTAGCATGTCCTTACTTTTTCTTGTTTGCTTCTGTTTATCTCTTCCGGGCCGAACAATTCAGCGGTGCACACACGGATTATGGTGAAGTTCCCATTTAACTTGAGATGAGTGGCTTAGAAGATTTAAACACCATTCTAAGTTTTACAATATTTCAACAGGTTTGTTAACATTGGTGAATCAAGATGAAAATATCACAGCACTTCAGGTATGATCCTCATAGTTTCCAGTTTTAAGAAATTAACAAAACCGATCGTTGTCTCGGAATCTCTTGATTGAAAGAGAAGTGCTAACCAAACCATAATGTTTAGCCTCTTCTTTCTCTGTTTTAGCTCCGAAAAACATTTCGTTGCTTATCGTTCTGAAGATTACCGCTGCTTAGCAAGTTAATCTTGTATGACCAAAGCAATAGTTGATCTTTGCTTTGTCAACCAAATGTGAACCGTTTTATTGTCTCAGATTTATTCCTTTCTTTCTCGATACTAAATAGTTCATGGTGGATGATTTCACACTTTCCCAACTTCCAGCTTTCGGTTTCCAGCTCATTAAATCCCACTGCTTTAACTTCCAATGACAGCTTATCTAAACAAGTTATGCAGGTGAGAAACCGATCTGGTGAGTGGATCTCAGCTCCTCCGATTCCAGGAACATTTGTATGCAACATTGGTGATATGTTGAAGGTACGGCATTAACACAACGGTAAAAGCGGTTTCAAATGTCTGTATTTTCATTTTCTTATTATGCCCTGCTAAAATTTTGGGTGTAACTGCAGATACTATCCAATGGTTTATACGACTCAACACTTCACCGAGTTATCAACACATTTCCGACATATCGCGTTTGTGTTGCGTACTTTTACGAGGTTAATATTTACACAAGTTGCCTTCTATTTTCTGCCGGTTTTGTCCTTTCTGAATATTCCTGTTTTCCCTGAACAGCCAAATTACGATGCAGCAGTGGAGCCTTTGGAAGTGTGTGTACAGAGGAGCGGCGGAACTCGAAAGTTCGAAAAAGCTGTATACGGCCAACATTTAGTTAGCAAAGTTCAAACAAACTTCGTTACGTAGAAGTTTGAGGTTCAATTTTGGGGCAAAACTTTCCATCCTTTGATTGTACATTTGACTTCATAATGTCTCAAAATGCAGTGGTTAAGCTTGACATGAAAACTGGTTCGCCCCTCAAAGATCTAATTCTAAGAAAAAGGGCTTACCAAGAATGTCCATATATATATATATATATATATTCTTTTTTTTTCACTCATAAAGAAGGGATACCACCAAAGGTTTCATTAAAAAACTTTCTAATCTAGTTGGAGGAAAATAATATTTAGGTTGATCGGACATTATCTTACCTGATCTGCGTTCTATCAGAAATATGTCGGATTCGGGATCAGTTACAGTTAAGGAAGAATAAAAACTTTTGAACTGTCATTTCGATACAATTTTAATTTATTGGTCGTCTTAATTGTGAAAATTAAAATTTAAAAACTCGATTCAAATTACTTACCTTTGATTAGTTGAAATTTCTCTAAAAAAAAGGTCAAAAAGAATGTTAGATTATAAAAATAAAAATAAATAAAATAAAATAAAAGGTTTTTAAATATATATATATATATAATCAAGTTTAAAGAAAGAAAAAAATGAAGAAAATTTAAATTTTAAAAGAGATAAAGAAAGAAATAATAAAAAGAGTGAAAATGTTAAATTTTAAAAAGAAAAATAAATAAATAAATAAATAAAAGAAATATTAAATTTTGAAAGTAAGTAAAAATAAAAGAAAAAGGAAAAGTAAGAAAAATAAAATAAGAAACTTAAACGATTAAATTCGAATAAATTAAAATTTGTGGATCAAATTGATGCTAAAATGAGCTGTAAGAGAAAAATAAAAGGTTAGGGGACCAAATCATAAAATATAATAAATATAACGAAGGATGAAATTGAAATAATTGAAAATGCGAAGGCCAAATTGAAACAGGTGACCAAAATGAATTACACATCAAAATTTGAGGGACTATGGAAATGATTTAACTATTCGTTAATTACAAGGTGGTCCCTCCCCTATAAATAACCTAAAACCCAGAGAAAAAAAACATTTTATCTTCCATTCAAAAAAAAATTCCCACACTCTCTCAACAACCGGCCATCTTCTCCAATGGAGCCTGATTGATGAACGGTGGCCGAAGACCCATAAACTACACCCTTCGAAAGCCCTTTTTCCCCTGACCCCGAATCTAGCCATCAATCATCGAAAAGGATTCTCAATCATCGTAGATCTATGCAAATAGATCTCGAACTTTATCTTTCCCCGACGACTATTGGGCTTCTCGACGACGCTTCCCTTTTTCTCGGTTCCGACGCCGAATATATTTCTGTGGTTTTTACTTTCGAATGCTTTACTTTTCTTGTCTTTTTTTGCTATGTTGGTTTGTTACTGTTTTTTGTCGTTGTGTATTTCGTTGTGATTGCTTTTCGTGGTTTTTGTGTTACTCTCTGTGTTGGTTGTGGTTCTGGTTGCTTGTTGATGATCATTCAATTGTCCCATGGCGAGGTATTTATAGCCTCCCATCGGGGCTGTTCTCCTTTAGCTTCGAGGGTTGTTTTACCCCATTTTCTGATTTAATGGGGATAGTCGTTGTTGTTGAATATCTGGGATGATTCAGTCCCGTTCGACGATGGTGGATGTTGGTGCGACCGAAAATCTCGTTGGTCGTTTGGTGTGTGGCCGCCACGCGCGCTGTGCGTCGCCCTCTTACTAGACATTAAACCCTAATCGGGTTAGGGCTGTGTCATACCCTTTATCTGATTGGGTTTCTGCTAGACCCGAACATTGGACCCATTGGACATGTAAAAAAACAAAAAATTAAATTAAATAAATAAGAAAAAAATTAAAAATTATTTTCAAACTATATGATATATATATATTTTTAAAAATTGTTTTCAAAACCATATAATATATATTTTTTCATATATTTTCAAAACTATATAATATATATTTTGAAAAATATATTCAAAACTATATATTATATACATTTTCAAAAATATTTTAAAAAATATATATTATATATATTTTCAAAATATTTTTAAAAACTATATATATATATATATATATATATTTAAAATATTTTCAAAAACTATATATTATATACACGTTTTCAAAATGTTTTCAAATATATATAATATATATTTTTTCGAAGACCGATTTTTTTGAAAAAATTATATGTTCCAAAAAAAGAAAATTCTTTCAAAAACTATATTGTATATATAAAAAAAACTCTGGACGAAAATGAGTGTCTACAGAGTGTAATCTCTTCCTGAGAAAATCGTTAACCACCTCAGAAGACAATCATTCACTGAGTTGGATTATGCCTTCACTTTCTACAAAATTCTCATCAAATAGTAATTTTACACAGATTTAGAATAGTTAGATGATTTAAAATAGATAATTGAGATTAAAAGTAGAAAATAAGAAGATATTTATTGAATCTATTTTCATTTATCTAACGATATTAAATATGTGTAAAACTAAAAAGAGTTTTACATTGAGTCCTAAACCATTTTTTAAATCATGTAGATGCCAACTCATATTTCAATCATCATTTGTTATGATTGATCCTTACTTCAACTATAGTTGTGGTTATTAGGCCCTAAAAATTTTAAATCATCCTATTAAGATCCCTTGGACCCAAACTCGACCTCTATTTCATCCGAATCCAAGGCGATCCTAATCCTCAAAACTTCCCAAGGGTTTAAAAAGTGGAGAAAATCGCCTCAGTGACCAAAAATGCCTTATAATATACAATTTTAACCAACTTTTTTTGGATTTGCCAAAATGACCAACAAAATCGCAATGCGAAATAAAAATCGCAACGCGATCTCTAGAATCGCAAATCAGTTCCCAGAATCGCAACGCGATTATGAAGAATCGCATTGCGATTTTCCATAATCGCAACGCGAACATATAAATCGCAACGCGATTCTGACTATCGCAACGAGTATCCGTAAAATCGCAACGCGTATTCGTAAATCGCAACGAGAATACGTAAATCGCAACGCGTATCTATAAATCGCAATGAGAATATGTAAATCGCAATGCGTATCCGTAAATCGCAATGCGAATACGTAAAATCGCAACGTGTATCCGTAAATCGCAACGCGATTTTTAAAGCGCTATTATAATCGCTACACGTATTTTATTTTCAAATTCCAAACACGAATATTAATTATCGGAACACTGAACGTCCACAGTATATCCCGTAATCGCAACTCATAACCTAAAACCTAAAAAAAGCACAACTCAGTCTCATCTCCATCTCTCACTCTCTACGGCAAAATCCGTCCCCATCTCCGGCGAAATCCCTCACAACCATTCACGGTCAGAAATCCCTCACAATCATTCAGAAATGGAAAATCAACCTCCGAGGGTTAGTTTTTTTAATTATTGTTATTTTGAAATTTTTGCATTATTTTAGGTTTTTCATATTGAAATTGATGATAAGTTTACTGGTAATTTCAATAATAGATTAACCATTTCATTTAGATTTCTTATTAAATTCATTCGATTGCTGCCAATACTGCTAAACTGTTTAGTCTTTAACCCTGTGAAGTTAGTATTTGTCTTTGTTTTGTCTTTTGGTTGAAGTAATGCAATCCATTAAAGTTTCAATTTACAAAAGAAGAATAGTTTCTAAACTTAAAATCGCAACATGAAAATGAAAATCGCAACACGAAATTGACTATCGCAACGAGAGAAATGAAAATCGCAATGCAAAATGAAAATCACAACGAGATAATCACAACGCGAAACCAAAATCGCATTGCGATTTTCATTTCGCGTTGCGATTCTCTCGTTGCTATTTTAATTTCGCGTTGCGATTCTCTCGTTGCGATTTTAATTTCGCGTTGCGATTCTCTCGTTGCGATTTTCATTTCGCGTTGCGATTTTCATTCTCTCGTTGCGATTTTCATTTCAACCAAAAGACAAAACATTGTTGCAAATTTTAGTTTCAAGAATAAACTACTACTCTTTATGTTTATTGTTTTTGGTATATCTTTACAGTGTAGTTTTTGGTATATCTAACTTGGTATGTTTATTGTTTTTGTAGAAATTTTTTTCGGCTTCATTGACATTAAGGAATAAAGTTAGCCTAGCCACTACAATTGCTTCGAAGCTTTCACCTGCACAAAGAAAATTGTTTGAGGAAACCTGCTTCGGGCCATGGCTGAGAGTACAACATCCGGGTGGAGATGTTAATTTGACCCATTTGTGGCTTCAGACCATGACTAGCGATCTACCCGACAGTATACAACGTGGTGAGGAAGAGATATGGTTTCATTTTCCACTGGCGTATACTTGTTTTGGGCGGAAGGAGTTATGCTTAATCACTGGTCTACGATTCGGACACGATGATGTAGGCCGGTACACTCGTCATATCACCCGCCCATCATGGTTATCCCGGGTTTTTCCTGATGAGTCAATAGAGAAGCCGAACTTACACGTCGAAGACCTGAAGAAATTGTTTAATAAGAAAGATGGTTTTACTCGGATGAATGACGTCGATGTTGTCCGAGTATGCCTTCTATACTTTTGGTTGCCGGCTTTTTAGGCAGAGAGGCCAGACAACCTATTCCTCAGGAGCTAATATTATTGGTAGAGGACCTAAATGTATGGAATCTGTTTCCGTGGGGTTCGTATATATGGAAAGCTACCTGGACTAATTTGTCGTCTGCCTTTGATGACCGCAAAAGTTTGCGTGGCGATGGGTCAAAATACACTTTGTCAGGCTTTGTTTGGGCCTTTAAGGTAAGAATTTCTATATAATGTTTTCAAAATTATAATTAATTATTTAACAATTACTAATGTTTGTTATTATATTGTTTGTAGATTTGGATATTCGAGGCTTTCCCCAGCATGCGGACATATGCATTAAAAACTTCAAATGATATTCCTAGGGCTATTTCCTAGAAGAGGAAACGTCTGTTGGATTGGGAAGACTTAATACCATATGCGACAATAAATAATATAAGTTAACACAAATACTATCATATATAAACAAGTTATTAATAGTAGACGTTTAACTTTGTTTGAGTTTTTATATTTTTAGGAGGCCAACACTCCATTACAGAGACTGACACCCACGGAGGCTGAGCTTGCCACTGATT